TAAAAACATATTAATCCATTATAATTAAAATTATATAATATGTTTTTAAAATTGCATTAAACACATGAAAACAAGATTTTAAACTCAGAAATTTATGATTTTTATACAAGTTACGAACATAAGTTAGACGTTTTGAATTTTAGATCTAGAAAAAAATGTAAAAAAAAATGACTATGCGGACAAAAAATCGAATCAGCGATCATTCTTACCTATTTGGACAAAACCGCCGCGGCCTCCCTCCGATTAGCGCCTAGACGGTCGATTTTTAGAAAAAGGACTATATTCCAAAGATACATTTCTATCTGCTTTGAAACAGACTGCTCTGAAATTTTGAAAATCATCGAGGCTGAAGATAACTGGCCCGTCTTTGCCACGGAATTAGAATCTTATCATGCTCTTATGTAGGCTTCGTTTGTTCATTTCCTTTAGTTCTTAAATGTTTGTAATCTGCCTTTCGGCAACACATCTAAGTACCTAATATAATCTATCAGATGACTCCAATAAATGGAAACTTGCAATTCTACAAAGCATAAACATGATTTGTTGATGTGAATTCCCTAGTTTTAAGACTTTATTTAATGTCATTATTTCTGCTTCAAGTTTGAGGTTCGATTTCGAAAAAAAAAAATGTATATCAATGAAGATAAATTTACCAAATATCTCTTTAACTTATAATTTGCTCATACGATTATTATAAGTAATGAAGCTATTTATTTTGACACCCCAAAGAACAAACATGTGATCCAATTTTGACTCCAAAAGAATACGATGAAGTTTGAATAATAAACTAATTATGTTCAAAATTATGGTCACGGAGGAACGAACAAGCGAAAGCAATGATCATTCCAATGAGTAAAAAATTGACTATGTAATAACCAAAGTTTTCCATTATATTATGTTTTTCCTTTTTCCAAAGTAATCGCATAGGTGAACTTTTAGTGAAAATAATAAGAAATATTTACTCAGATGTTAACCAAAAGTTCGAATATTACTAGAATATTATACATTTTCTAAAAATTACTCATATGTTTTGAGCATTTGTGTAATTACAATTAACACCCTTCATTAGTTTTTTTTAATTAATAATTTTTAATTCGTTTTTAATTAAAAATAATAAATAAAAATTTGATTATCCATGTCATTAATCCACATCACCAATCTCACACTCCTCAAACTCACGTTATTTCTCCTCTTCTCTTTTTTTGTCTCCAAATCCAAGAAAAGCTTTTAGATCATTTCTCCTCTTCTCTTTCTTTTGTCTCCAAATCCAAGAAAAGCTTTTAGATCTAGGCTTTGATTGGTAAACAAAAATAAAGTTGTACAGCTTTGTACAGCTTTGTACAGCTTTGATAGTTACCAATCACAAAAACCTTATGAAAAGCGGTACACTATAACATAAAATGTTTTTTTTGGACAAAAACAAAAACAAATTAAAACGGTTACGGTTAAATACGGTTACGATTAAATACGGTTATAATGGTTACGGTTAAATACGGTTATAACGGTTACGGTTAAATACGGTTACGGATAATTACGGTTATAGTTATTTAATGACTACAATACGGTTAATATCGGAGGCGAAATCTTACGAGTTACCTAACTTATTATAATACTTTATATAAAATCAAAAAGTATGTTACAAACTAAATTTTCTTCATTTCGAGCAAAATAACAGTATAACATATTTGTTTGAGAAAAAGACCATTTTTTATAACGTAGATTTTTTCATATGCGGTATCATTTACTTTTTTGAAAATCTTAATCTGAACATTCGATAATTGTTTTTGCATTATATGGAGTTACAATTATATTTTTAAAGTTTTAACTATGCGGTTAACCATATGGTTAAATAACGGTTTTCATATGTTTACCGTTAATTAACGGTTACGGTTAATATATTTTTTAACTGTAACTAATTATTTTTTACGGTTAACGGTTATAGTTTTTAACCGTTTTATACGGTTACGGTTGAGAAACGGTCCGTAACCGTAACCGTATTTTGGATCGTAACTGGACCAAAAGCTAACCGTAACCGTATTTTGGATCGTAACTGGACCGTTTTTCAACCGTAGCTGTATAAAACGGTTAAAAACCATAACCATTCACCGTAAAACTAGATTAGTTACGGTTAAAAAAAATATACTAACCGTAACCGTTAATATACCGGAAACGTATCAAAACCGTTATTTAACCGTACGATTAGCCGCACGGTTAACCGTATTATTAACCGCATAATTAAACTTTATAAAATATAATTGTAACTATGTATAATGCAAAAAAAAAAAGTCTCGAATGTTCAGATAAAGATTTCCGAAAAAGTAAATAATACAGCCTATGAAAAAAATCTCATTAGAAATAATGGTTTTTTTCTGAGACAATTATTTTGGAATGTTATATTACTCAAAATGAAGAAAAATGTTATTTATTATAGGACTAGTAAATTCATATTATTATTCTAACAATAAAATATTGTTTATTCTATATAATCTTAATTTTCATATGTAATTATATACTAAAGTACATTTCTATGTAATTTTTTTTCTTTCTAAATTCTTAATATTATTTATTATGTGTACCACTATGATGTTTCTAATCAGAGTAAATTTTTAAAATTTGTTCTGCGTTATTTTTTTGTACAGCTTTCGTATTTTATTCTTTTGTACAGCTTTGCACTATTCCTTAACAGCTAACAGCTTCAGCTAACAGCTCCAGCTAACAGCTAACAGCTTGTTACCAATCAGACCCCTAATAATCTGCAACTAAGTTAGGTACAACATTGACAGAGATCTTCAAATTGCAGGATTGGGCTGGATCTTCCTAGACCTCACAGCCACAACGCTTGCCATAGGGTCCCAAATCAAAAGCTTCGTCAGATCTACTCGCAACCACGCTCACGAAAAAAGTCATCAAAAATCAAAACCCAAAACAAAGAGATCTATGGAATTCTACATGATTCGTTACAGGTTTGAGTTGAAATCAAGAATAGCTACTCTTTTACTTTGATTTTACATGTCTCTCGTTTAATCTTCCTCTCAATCGATCTATTTGGAGACATTTCTACTTCTATCTATGTTTTGATTCATACGGTTTAGTCTTCCTCCTATGTATCCCTCAAACATATTTTTACGAATCTTAATTTGATTGTTGTTATTTGACCAATAAATTTCATATTGTCTTCTCCAAAAAAATGTTGCTTTCCGATCTGTATTATAAATCAGCCGTAAAGTGATGTAACTCAGCCGTAACGTGATGTAACTCAGCTGTAACATATAATTTACACAACCTTTCGTCTTCCCTGAATGATAACTCAGCCGTGACATGTAATTTACCGAACCTTTCGTCTTCCCTGAAGCATATAACTCACCCGTAACATATAATTTACACCCATCTATCGTCTTCCCTGGAGAATATAACTCAGCCGTGACATGTAAATTTACCGAACCTTTCGTCTTCCCTTAAACATATAACTCAGCCGTAATGTAATTTTACCGAACCTTTCGTCTTCCCTGGAACATATAACTCAGCTGTGACATGTAAATTGACCGAACTTTTCGTCTTTCCTTAAGCATATAACTCAGCCGTAATGTAATTTTACCGAACCTTTCGTCTTCCCTGGAACATATAACTCAGCCGTGACATGTAAATTGACCGAACCTTTCGTCTTCCCTTAAGCATATAACTCAGCCGTGACATGTAAATTTGCAGCAAAACAATAAGAGACGCAACATTTCCTCTAACTTTATCATCGAGCACCAACTTTACAAGTTTTTCGTGCGTTGTTTTCGCATCTATCTGCACAACTCTACACCCTCTTTCATCGGTGTTAAATACGTATTTGTGTTTTTATACCCAATTACCGGAACCGGATCAACCATATCGGGAGAAGGATGAAAGAAATTGAAGAAGAATGAGGAAGACGATGAGGAATTGGAAGTTCCGGTGATGTGATAAACTCAGGTGAAGAAGACGAGTTGAAAAAATTTGGCCCTATTTTTTTGTCCTTTGATGATGATGACATGGAATGATGACATGGAATGTTGCATCCACGTCATTTTTTAATTGATGAAGTGGCAAGTAAGCCACCAAACGAAAATGCAAATCAGCTTAATTAAACCAGCCATCAAACAAAACTTTAACTCAGCCGCAACATGAATACTATTACAGTAATTAAAAAACGAAAAAAACGGCAGCCAAATTCAGCCGTTTACTGTCGTAACTCAACCAAAAATATTTAACTCAGTCGTGTCGTTTAATAAGTCGGCCGTCATTGCATGCTATTCTAGTAATTAATCTTTCGCTACTAAGTTAGCCATAATAAGGCCGAGTTTTCCGTTAATCCAGCTCATTACGGCTGATTTATGATACTCGAACATAAATCAGCCGTAACGTCATCCCATAACTAAGCCGTCTTTGATAACTCAGCCAGCCGGAGAAAGTTAAGTCAGCCGTGTCGAAGCAATAACTCAGCCAAAAATTTGACAAATCAACCATCGGGTGAAACCTCAGCCGTAACTTAGGCTGGGTTATGCTCGAAAGTCAGCCATTTTATCATAACTCAGACAGATTTCAGTAAGTCAGCCGTAACTCCAGGCTGGGTTATACTCGTAAGTCAGCCGTTTGCTCATAACTCAGCCATTTTTCTTAAATCAGCCGCAAGATACCGTAACTCAGCCGTCACTGCCGCTATATCGCTCGACGGCTGAGTTCATTAATACACGTCAGCGATTTCTGACGTGGCGACGCGGCTTTGCTGACGTGGCAGTGACATTCTTTGTAATTACGTTTTTTCCTGTAACGTTTAACAGGGGCACGCTGGGTATAAAAAATATACCCGAAATATGATAGTAATAAAAAAAAGATCTGTATGTTTCTGGTAATTTCATATAAAATGTATAACATCTGAGTAAATCTCCCAAATAATAATCATACTTTTATTGTCTTTTTTAAAATAATAATCACAATTGGATATGGTCAAACTAACGTTTTTCAATTGCCGTTACTAAATAGCTCTATAAGTTTTTGGTTGTTGTATATGCCTCATTATGAATTTATGACAATCAATGCTGTTTGTTTCATCTGTAAGTATATACATAACAATCAATTAATAACACTATATAAGAATAATATGTTTACACTAATTCACTAATCTAGCTTTTGCGGTTTGAATTTTAAAGTTGAATTTTTTAGTTTAGTGTAAGACTAGAGGTATACTAGGTTTCAATTAAAATAAGAAGTTTGGTTAAATTCAATTGTTGCTTTAAAACCACACACACATGTCATCATAAAAGTTGGGCAATGAGTTTGAAAGATGGAACCTCTGCTAAAAAGTTTGTTTTTTCTCCCTACCTTATGCATATATAATATTTTCCACAAACATAGAGTACCATCAAACAAAAATACATATTTGATTTTTTCCATATGATATTCTATTTTTAATAATTATCTCATCTTTCACAACAAACAAATCTAATTTTCTGAAATATTTTTATGACGAATGGTTCTATGAACGATTTTACAATCGATAGTTTCTTTTTTTTTTGAACACCAGACAATAGACAAGTTTTTCTTAAAATTTCTCGCGCGGCTTTGATTACAAATGAGTATAAAACTATACCGGACAATCAAATTTTTTTAATAAAAATTTGGTCTATTTTTAATAAAAGTAGGCCAAATATGGATATAATGATATATTAATGGATTTAGAAAATTTCTTCTTTTGTTAAAGGAAATTAATCCTATACATTAATAAAATTAGTCAAAAATAATAATTAACCCTTATCTCTTTTTTCCTCTTATCTCAATTAACCTCTATCTTAGTGATACTTTTCTTATTCCCTTTATCTTGTGTATAACCCAATGAAAAGAACAACACTAGTCACCAACTTATTATAACTCTTCATCCATTTTCTCTCTCTAAAAGTCACCACATCCACCCAAAGTTTTTTTTTTTTAACTTTGAATGTGACTCAGGACAGAGAGAGGGAGATACAGAGAAAGAGAGCTTGAGGAAGGGTTTAAGCAGATCTGCAAGAAACACTCTCAGGTATGGTGAGAACTTTTAAGAAATATGAATTTACTCATTGAGTCATTTCTTTTGATTTGACTTCTTGATTTTGGTTTTTGGTTTTAAATTTCCAAAGTTTAGTTTTTCTGTTGATCAATTATATGTTCATTGCATGTGATGTGAGCATGATCTCTTCTCTGAGAAACTATGGATTTTAGATCTTCTCCTTCTTCTGCTAATGGAAAAAAAAAATTCAATTTTATCGAAAGTGCAACTTTTGATTTGATCACAATTCACAATTATTTTCTCTCTGGGTATTTCTCTCTCAATTTCCCTAAATTCTAGGGATTTGCCTTTCTCCTTCATTAGTTGTCACTAGCCTTTGTTTTAGTATTTGTTAAAGGTCATTAGTTTGTGTTGTTAAGTTAATTAATCACTGCATGCACGAGTTAAACAACATTTAACTATTAATATATTCACTCTTAAATGATTCAAAGCTTTGTTAGATTTCATGGCATGGTGGTCCACTCTTTTTAAATAACAAAATCAAGTTCCTCATGAATTATTCTTATCTCATCAATAATACACACACCTTTTGAATATTTACTTTTCTATCTTTTATTCTGTCTAATTTTTTTGTTTATTCTATTCATTTTCCCTTTTTTTAATATTATTAATCAAAATCTAGATAGTGTCTTATTTTCTGTAGAATCAAACCGGCGGCGACAGTGACGGCGGCGAAAAGCGGCGGTGTTGGCCGCAAAAACGATGCAAAACCAGCTATGGTCATTACCGCTAACGATTTATCAAAATGGGAAAATTTTCCTAAAGGACTTAAGGTTCTTCTTCTCCTCCACGACGGCGACAGCAACGGAGATGGCTCTTCAGCCGCCGAGACTCGATCAAAGCTCGAATCAATGGACTATATCGGTGAGCCACTAACTTTCCTCAGTTTCTCTCTTAAACCTTTATTAAGTTTATTTCCTCGATTAAAAATTTATATTAATTCTTTAATCAATGATTATGTAGAAATGTCAAATATTTAATCATATTGGCCAATTATGTGAGTGAGACCATATACTAGTTTAATTTTAGAGTTGCTTTAGCTCTTACATGTCCCGTGACAATTCTAATTTGTATCGCCTTCTATTATATTTGCATAAATACACACAGACATACACAGTTATAGCTTGGTCAATAGCCTATGAATAGAATTATAACATTATTGTATATAGGGAAAAATAATATTAATATGAAAAATGCAACGTTTTTAGTTGATACGTACATAAGTAGTAAAATCTTGTGCAGTTATAATTTGGAGTTTTGTTAGTAAATATTTATGAACCAGAATCCAAACTATCCCAAGGCCTGTTTATGCGATTTTTATGTGTTTTGAGTGTTGAGACTATAGATTCAATTTTTTGAATTTTTGGAACTTTCTTGCAGTTACTTCATTCACCGATGAAACTGAAGCACTCTCTGCGGTTGTCAAGAACCCGGAAAGGTTCCACATTGCCATCGTCGAGGTGAATACGAGCGCCGAAAACGAGAGTTTCAAGTTTCTTGAGGGTGCCAAAGACGTCCTTCCTACTATAAGTTTGTGAACCTTTTACAAGTAACCTTTTTAATTTGTCACAAATCTTTACAATTCGAAAAATTCGCTAAAATGTTGATTATTCTATGTCTTTACAGTGATTTCAACTGATCATTGCATCACTACTACACTGAAATGCATAGCGGTAAGTGATTGCGACTTGCATTTGCTTAGATGTATAAAAATGTTTGGTTATGTGATGAGAATTGATAAGTGTTTTCCAGCTTGGTGCAGTTGAGTTCCTTCAAAAACCGCTCTCACCGGAGAAATTAAAGAACATTTGGCAGCATGTTGTTCATAAGGTTCAGTTAGTTTTTCGCATCTTTAATTCCTCGGTTGTATACTCATAATCTAAGAAAGTTATGACATTTTTATGTTGCTAGGCATTCAATGACGGTGGAACTAATGTTTCGGTATCACTTAAGCCAGTGAAAGAATCTGTTGTCTCGATGCTTCATCTTGATACTGACATGACAAGCGATGAGAAAGATCCAGCGCCATCAACCCCGCAATTGAAACAAATTTCACGGTTACTAGGGGATTGCCAAGAGAACATAAATTTCTCGATGGAAAATGTAAATTCCTCGACCGAGAAGGATAACATAGAAGGTCAAGATATCGGTGAATCTAAATCAGTCGACACTACAAACTGCGAATTAGATGATGACAAAGTGGTTGTCAAAAAAGAGAGAGGAGACAGTGAAAAAGAAGAAGAAGGTGAAACCGGAGATCTCATAAGTGAGAAGACAGATTCAGCTGAGATTCATAAGAAAGAAGATGAGACTAAACCGATTAATAAATCATTCGGGATCAAGAACGTGTCTGGTAACAAAACTAGTCGAAAGAAGGTAATGTTGTGTCTCTCTTGACGCTCCTTAGTGCTAAAACATTCAGGCTCTCGTTATCATTGTTACTGCGTTATTTTCTACAGGTAGATTGGACACCAGAGCTGCACAAGAAGTTTGTGCAAGCAGTTGAGCAACTCGGCATTGATCAAGCGATACCTTCGCGGATTCTTGAGTTGATGAAAGTAGGCACCTTAACAAGACACAATGTAGCTAGTCACCTTCAGGTAATTAGATCCCAAGGGTCGAATGTTTCGCAAGATTTCTGAATTCTTGTAAAATGTTACACAATCTTTGAATTTTTGAGCAGAAATTTCGGCAGCATAGGAAGAATATTCTTCCAAAGGATGATCATAACCATAGATGGATACAATCTAGAGAGAACCATAGACCAAATCAACGTAATTATAACGGTTTTCAACAGCAACACCGTCCCGTGATGGCTTATCCCGTTTGGGGTCTTCCCGGTGTTTATCCGCCAGGAGCAATTCCACCTTTGTGGCCGCCGCCGCTTCAGTCCATTGGTCAACCACCTCCGTGGCATTGGAAACCACCCTATCCAACGGTAACATCTTTTTATAAGTTAAAGATTCTAGCTACAATAAAATAAATCAGATTTGTCTCTACAAGAAAATGTCATTATTTACGAATTTAACGACAAAATGAATTCATACCAATACATTTTAGCTAATGCATTCTCTATTTAGACATATTTTGTGACATTATGATAAAATCCATAGCTAAATCGTCCATTGACATTATATGTAATCTTGTTTCAGGTGAATGGTAATGCATGGGGTTGTCCGGTTGGACCGCCTGTGACCGGATCATATATTACTCCTTCGGTGAATATTTTCACAAGCTATAAACATATAATATTATATTTATGGAAAATTTAGTCATTACAAAAATCGTATTTTATATTTTTCTCAATGGATCTTTTTTTTTGTCGCAGAATACTACCGCCGGTGGATTTCAATATTCAAACGGAGCTGAAACCGGCTTCAAAATAATGCCGGCGAGTCAGCCGGTAATGTCACAAATTCTCTATTTTCCTTTTAAGACATAAAAAATTCCTAATTAATTAATGAAAAATAAAATTCTCCGGGGTCGGGTTGTGATGTAATTGGGTCGGGTCAGGACGAGGAAATGATAGATCAAGTGGTTAAAGAAGCGATCAGCAAACCGTGGCTGCCGCTACCGCTCGGGCTAAAACCGCCCTCCGCGGACAGCGTTTTGGCTGAGCTATCGCGTCAAGGCATCTCAGCCGTCCCTTCTTCTTCTTGTTTAATCAACGGCTCTCATCGTCTACGCTGACGTGTCCATGAAACAGAACCCGTAGATATGATGACGTCATGCGTGGCGTACTTGTCCGTGTCTGACGGTCCGAAGCGGGAACTGATTCGGATCCTGAGAGTTGTTCTTTTTAATTTTTTTGTTGTAATAAAAATATTTGTTTTTATTGGTATTATTAATAAAGAAGATCGGACGGTGAAGATGAGGGCAACGATGTTAGTTTGACCACCACAAGTGGAATCTGCGGCTGTAAATAGATCTCGGACACGAGATTTTGACAAGTCGGAATCTGACGTGTGTGTGTACTCGCTTTTGTGGGTTGTCGAGAATTTAATAGTTGACACTGTTTTAGGTGATATGAGATTATGAGATATGATGATAATAATAAAAAGTACAACTCGAAGATTCCGTGATGACATTTTGTTCTTTTTTCTATAAATTCCAAGATACACACAACAACAAATACATTTATCCTTTTCTTTTTTTTTGACAACAACAAATATACACTTATTCACATCGGACATGAAATGTTTTACATTACTTAGATGTGTTTATTTCAGCAATTGGATTGTTTTTAACTTATGCGATACATACTATTGATTGCGTTATTCAAAGGAAGAAATTGCTAACAAATGATCGAAGTAAAGTAAACATAACAAATAGAGAGACTACGTTTTATGTTGGGCCTAAAAAGGATATCTGTTCAAAAATGGGCCTAATTGATGACTTTATTGTTCCAGGGGATAACATTTTCAGAAGGTATCTAGAGTGTGTGATAATGTTAATGTTTTTTAGGCCTTACTTTTCAATTTATAATATGAATGGGAATTTATTAAAATTCGGTAAAATGATAACAAAATAAGAAAATCAGAAGCTCCTACGAGCTAGAAAACAAACATATTTCGCAAATATAATATCTGAAACCAAGTGGATGTATAATTCTAAAATCGCTTAACGTCTTCTCATTAAAGAAATAAAGCATGCAATTTTTTTTTTCTTTTAAATGATCATGTGTACTTGGAGTCTTAGACACGGTATTTTATTCGGCGGAACTCAACTAGAAACTAACTATTTTTGTAGAATTTACGAACTTTTATAAATTATAACATACTTATTATACCAAATCACATGATTCAGTTTGTTTGAATAGGCTTTTATACTTTCTAACCAAATTTTCTAGCAAAATAAATTTAAACAAGTTTTCGCAACATAAACGATTACCCTTAAAACATACAACCCATTTTTGGTTTTTTAGGACATATTTTTACCAATGCATACATAATTTTTGGTGTGTAGTAACCGTAGTTTTTCTTTTATAGACACTTCTGTATATGTCTGGTTAGAAACTAATGCACTAAACATTTTAGCATAATTAATAAAAGAAGTGCATCGTGGACCAAGAAAAAGACGCTCAATGGTCGAGACTGCAAGTCTTTAGCCGTGTAACATTGTACACACATATTTCGGTTGTCCATGATTTCTAAGTGCTATAGTGCTTCTCTGTTACTGCTTTTTCCCCTTTTTTTGGCGTCACTTTTCTTAACTAATTTTATATGTAATTTGTCTTTTATTACAATGTATAAAAAAATATACTCACGTGAGCGTTCAAAGAATTTAAACCGTCGATAAGAAAAGTTTTGAGCGTCGGCATCATTCACTATTTCACTCAAAGACATTATCACATTGTGAAAGCCATGAATGCAAACCGGGCCTTGTGGCCTAGTGGTAAAGGGGTCACAGCTGTGACTTCCGCCACCAGGGTTCGAGGCACGGCCACTGGCAGGTTTACATAGGGGAATTGCCAGCCTCGTGGGATTAGTCCTTGGGCCTAGGAAGCCTTTGGAAGACCCGCGGTTATTCAAAAAAAAGAAAGTCATGAATGCAAATAGAAGAAAACGCGTTTTAAAATGACATGAACACTCCTACTTTGCAGCGGATATAAAAAGTTCATGGCGTTCATGCTATATATATTTCAAATCATATTAAATGCTTCAAACATTACAAATACTCACCAATCATCGTTTGATTTGTAATTTACAACGCTTTACTCAGCTGCAAATTGTCTAAGCATATTTATAAAACAAATTTATACTATTAGACAGCTCAAAACGCAATGCTAGAAACCCTTGTTTCCTTCTAGACCAAGTTACTGGTCCATATTATGTATATGTGATGATAATGCCACTCTCTTGCATGGTGGGATCTCCAATTCTCTCAAACCCGTATGGTTCTAAAGTGTGGAGCAAAAGATAGTGATTTCTGATGTAGAGAGATCTCACATTCATTCCACTTTCCAATTTGTAATTTTGTATACAAACAACAACATCACCCTCATTTTATTCCTTGTTTACAAGATTTTGTTTTAATACTATTTTACTTCAACTCTTGTAATAAAAAGCGAATATTCGAATTTATTTTTCATATTTGGTATTATCACATTGTTTGCATTGCTGTAATAGATAAAGACCAATGACTTTTATACAAATCAATTTTGTTTTGTTTCTTTTTTTGCAACTTTTTGATGTATAAAATTATTAGTAAGAAGATAAGCGATTGGGGACAAAAACGTCGCCGTTTGCTGTGTGAGTAGTGACGAGTCAGATCAGTGGCTCACAGCTGTGTTGTAGGTACTGTAACGGTACTTTATAATTATAACCGACATCAACCAAATTTTGGTTTTTATCAATTTTCAACCCCGACCTATTCTTTGTATCAGTCACATTTTGAACCCCAAATGACCTTTTTCTTTATCTTTAAAGGCTGATCATGACTTAAGAAGAAGTTTTATATAACAAATATTCCACATAATGTTTTGTTTTGATTTGAATCAACTTTCTTAACTATGATGTGGGTGGGAAACGGTCCAACGGGAAACAGCCCAAGCCCAACATCTCGGAAATACAACAAGACATGCCACTTATATGGGCCACATAGGTGGGAAACCATTTTTGTGGGAATTTGCTTGTTGGGCCACCTTGGGCTCTGATACCATATTAGGAATGTGGCCTAACTTAACCCAAAAGCTAGCTCAAGAGTTAAGGGTTGCCACATCCTTTATATATTACTCAAAGATCTTAATCCCAAGCAATGTGGGACATTCTAATAGTCTATGTACCAAGATTTAATTTGATAGATCTTTGTATTTTGAAATTCATGGATTCGTTCAAATTAATTTAAAACTTTTCACCAAAACTTTTTTTTCTTTTCAGATTAGTTATTTTTGCATTTATATCTCTCTCCATGTAACGCGTACTATAACGTGCATCTCTTCTTTCTCATCAACCTCCATGTAACCTCTATCCTTTTTATTGTAACATTAGGCTTCTTTTTTTTTTTTATGGAAAATAAATAAACACGTTAATTTTAATATACCTATGAAAAAAGCTTTATCTGTTTTCTTACAATTTTGATTGAGTGTAGTGTTATACTGTTATGTTTAATAATCAATAACTTCTTCAATGTGGATCCGCCACATATACCAAGAAAAAATAATGTTTTAAAACAAATTTGTTTTATGAACTCTTTTTTTTTGTGTGTGTTATGAACTTATGATGGATAGAAGAGAATTCAGAGTTAGAAAAAAAAAAAACATACACATATTTATGTGCTTTACCAACGGAGTGTTAGATACGTGATACGTCCATCAAAGTCCATGGGCAAAAGAGATAAATTTACTATTCTGAAGAAATCTCTAACTCAGCCCTAGATTGACTTTGCCGAAAACCCTAGGTCCAAACCCTGACATTTTGAATATGGAAACAAAAACAACGAATCCGGAAATAGCAATTCTATGCTGTTTAAAAATGTTGACATTTTATTCCTCAAACAAAGAAACCAACTCATAATTGTGAACTTGTAAGATGGAAGTAGGGCCGAGTAATTACTTCCCAATGATGTATATCTCGTTTTTGTTTTTGCTACGTCCTAGAGCTAAATAGTTATATGCTATTGTGTGGTTCGATCGTAGTTACTTCACATACCTTTGCAATTTTAATGATTAGGATTTAGGAATGAGCTGTAAAAGAGAATGAAAGTTGAGGTCTTAAATTTTGATTTTCTAAAACTTATGGGGTCAACTTGAAGGGTTTAACTCAAACATATCCATCGTTAAGTGTTCTCCATTGGGCTCACGAGGGGCCAAATATATTTACGACCTCGTTGGTACAACACCGTACACACGCAATTCTCACTTTTAATATGTTACACACACATATACGTATATATACATGTACGTACATATAGTATAATGCAATATGTGTAATGTAATGTTTGGGTGGTTTTCTTTGCAATTATCTTTCTCTAGTACGTAGACCTAAGATCCGCCAGTACTTATACAATTACACTACAACCAAAGCTTAAGTTACGAAAAACTAGTAGCACGTTGATGTTGTTAGTCAATTGTATCATACTATGTGTTATAATAGTGTTAGGGATAAATTACTTATGTGTTACGTAAGATTATAGTTCATTGTATCAGTTTTCAATGAAAGTATATATCAAAGTTATTGAGTTTTTGATTAATAAAATTTACAAATTACGTTATTTATCCGCAAAACCATCAGAAAACATAGCTATGTCGGAACAATTAGGTTATAAACTTAAGATGCTATGAGTTTTTATTATTATTTGGTGGTTAAACTGTATTGCTTTCCTCTTATCTTTTGTATTCTCTTACAAAGACAACATTTGGAGCAGTTTATACTTAGAGGGGAATGAATAAAAGCAGATAGAAATAAGAGCATAGAGTTGATTAGTACAACTCATAAGTAGACAAAGAGACAAAGAAGACTAATTTGGAGTGGGATCATATTGGAAGAGACCAAACCAGACCGTAAGGAAGGTGTGTTGTTGCTGTTGTTCTGGATTAGAGACTGATGCTGAGAAAATATAACCATTCAAGGGACACTAGGCCGACCAAGTCCCGATAATACAATGAGTTTGCAATTTAAATCAATTGAAAAATAGTGCATCGATTCATATATATATGTTACATTTTACGTTAAATCACATTTTATTTCATATGTGAAATTTCTAACATTAGATATATATCTAGTATCATCAAATTAAGTTTAGTAATCCCAAATGG